CTCCATGGGAAACCTAAAGATCATCTGAAGGAGGAGGGCTGCTTCTGTGAACCTCTGGAAGACCTGGGTCTCCTCTCTTAAAGCAGGACCCCAATTCTACTTCCAGGAAAGATAAGTAAAGTCACTAATGACAGCAAATCTGTCACAGTTTAGGTGGACACTGGTAGCTTATCCAGTGTTCCTCTTCAGGACCACCAAACTCTCTTCCATGAAACACGTAGCTCAACAGGTCTCCATATATAGATACTAAGTCCTTGTTTCCTAACAGGTTCTCCTATAGGTAGGCAGGAAGTAGCTATATGAACACAGAGACCTCTGCTCCCTCAGCACCCCATAAAGAATTATGGGGATCTGTGTCTCTCAGAGGAAAATGTAGTAGGAGGCTAGAACATGCTGAACCTGGCACCTGAGATCAGTCTTCTAGCACAAGACTGCATGGGACCTCCCAGGTCAGCTATGGAGACACAGAAGGACAGCAGCGACTGACTTTGCTGCCACTGTGCTCTTGCTCTTGAAGCATCTGTTCTGCTCGCAGGATGCATCTTCTCTTTTTCCTTCAGAGCACTTTTTTCTCCTGAGCACTTTTGTGCTTCTTCTCTTTTCCTTATTTCTTCCCTAAAATACATGGTAATCTCACTTACACCAATTGTCCTGACCAATTCATTGATGGGGACAAATAAAAACCAGGGAAACACTGCTGGCCCCTACCCCACCCGACAACATCACTACCCCTTTTCTCAGATCCTAGAGCCAACCCTTACTGCAAAGGTGTGGGACTCTGAGCAAGGGACTGTCATGCTTGGGCCTCTGTCTCACCTGTACATGCAGGGCTGGGCTATGTGACCTCTAAGCATGAGGAGACTGTGACTCTGAACACTGATGGCTCACAGGGGCTCTGGGGCCTTGTGGCTTGGGGACCTTGTTTGCTAGATGTGGTGAAAGCCTGAGGTGTCCCTCAGAGGCCTGGGATGGGCTGGGTCTATTGCACCAGGGTGACATGGCTGGATGGGAATCAACAGGGAACCAGGCAGGAGAGGGGCAGAAGGTGCTTGGACTCCTGTCTGGGCTTCTCCGTGCCTCTTCTTCTTGAGCTGTTGGAGACTTGACCAGAGTAGCCAGGGCGGCTCCTCTTCTTCCTCAGCCCTGCTCTGACTGCTCTCCCTTTCCCTCCCGAGCTTGCTTTTGCCCAGGGTCATTCGTGGCCATCACCACCCACTGCTCCCACATCTCCCCATCAAATACTCCTTCCCTGATGGCAGCACAGCCTCCTCTTGTGCACCCTCAGCCTCCTCATCCTTTCCCTCAACTTTCCCACCTGTTGCACCTGAGGGACAAGCAGGAGAGGCTAACTAAGTGGGTAGGATGAAGCCCAAGACCAGTAGAGCTGTTGCCATGGAGACATAGGCAGAGGACAGCCTGGCCCCAGCCCACCTGTGCAGAGCAGACTCCCTCAGGGTCACATTTCCCTCAACACAAGAAGTAGAACTGTGCTGTTCCAGAGTTCAGGAGGAGAAATAGACCCATCTCTCACACTCACACCTGCTAAAGCACTTTGCATGTGGACATGTGACTGCTTCTCGTCTCCTTCCTCTATCAGACACAAGCCCTTCACGGAAGGGGTTGTCATAGTCTCAGTACCCTCACACCTGACAGCATCTCAGGAAACAAGCCTTTGGTCCTGGGATTCTTCTGCTAGCAGTCATGACCTTGGTGAAGAACAGGCCCGGGAGAGAAAAGGTCAATGATTTGATCTCTCACCTTGCAGCAGGAAAGTGGGACTGAGTGTCTCCAAGAGTGAGTATGAGTCTGTTTGATTTCTAGTGTGGCTCCTGTCTCTGGACATCTTTTTATTCCCAGTGCCTGCATGTGTATTGGAGGCTGATCAGTTTTCCAATCTGCCTAGAGAAGGGGGTTGTGAAGGCTAAAGAAAGAAAGACAATAGAGACATAATTTCATAATACATGGAGGGCTGGGAGGTCAGAGCCAGACTGGGCAAAGACAAAGACTCTCTGAGTTAGCCATTATTTATTGGGTACACACAATAATCAAAGAGAATTTTGGGTGACTTAGGGGCCAGCAGTAAGCCTATGTTGATGAGGATCTTAGGTCAATGAGGATAGTGAGATGGGCAAAGCATTCCTACAGTAATAGGTGGGACGAGATAGTAGGTTAAGGAATTTGTCCTTCCCCCAGGTGAAAGCTTTCACTAATTTTATTACTACTTGGTTCTCAAAGAACCAGGATGTCTTCAGCTGATGTAATCTTGCCCTTGAGCATCACAGCATCACAGGACCACTGAGGCCTCAATTTGTGACTGGAGTTATGTTTCTGTCTGTCATGGCCAGCTGGCAGGCAAGGTGACATTGGCCCTCAGCCCTAATTATAATTTAATTATAAAATGATGTTTCCCCAGAATTATATTGAATGGCTCTTGACTCATGTGTGCTTTTGTTTTGTCTTGTTTTGATTGATTTGTGGTACTGGGGATTGAACCCAGGATCTTCAAACTGGAATCCATCCCCTGACCTTTTTATTATTTTGAAAAAGGGTCTTGCTGAGTCACTAAGTTACTCAGGCTGCACTCAAACTTGCAATCCTCTTCGCTCAGCTTCATAGGGTGGGGCACCACTCCCAGCTCTGCATGGGCATTTATGTGTTTATACAATTCTGTGTGTGTGTGGGTATGTGTGTGTGCATGCAGCAAAGCAAAGGGCCACATACTGTACTTGTTTTCAAACACACACACATTTCCACTTGTCTCTCTGTGTGTGTTGTTTGCTTGTCTCTTCTGAAAAGTTTCTGAAAGTGCCACTCTGGCAAATGAAAGCTACCAAGATCAATGGTTCTCCAGTCCCGGGGGGAGAGTCGGAAGTCCACAGAGAGATCTCTGAATACATGCTTTGCTAACAGCCTCTGAAGAGGATCGGGAGCAAGAGAAATGGGACAAAGTGGGCATGACCACCCTCTTCCATATGGGAACAGGACTCGATCACAGGGCAGCAGAAGCAAACACCTGCTGGGCTTTTTGAACCCAGAACTGGAGGAGGTCCTGGAAAGTTTGCCTGAAGCTGGCTCTATGCCTCCAGTGTTTTTATCCCTCTTTGTAACTGTTCTCCTTGCCTGTTTAATCTTTAGTTGAGTTTTATTTTTTGAGGCTTCAACACTCAGGGAAAGTAAAGAACTGTTGACGGTTATGCATTCTATTTGGGGCTATTTATCCTTCAGGCACTCCATTTAATCAACTCAAGGCCAGCGGGGCAGGACTACATCCTGTGGACAGAACACTCACAGAAAACATGCAAGTGACGCAGGATGGAGCACATCCTGCACACTTTTCCATGCACAGGTTGAGTGCCTTCTGAGGTGGCTGCCTCTTTTAAAGTTATGTTTTTGAAGGCAAACTTTGTGTGTGTGAACACATAGGAGTAGGGTCTGTTCATTTGCTGAGTGGGTAGTACAAGGGAAAAGTTAGCCATTGGAGAGTTCAGAAGTAGTATGCGTCCATTTTTGTGGCTGCCTCTGGCGGATTAAGCAGTGCAAAAGGAGGTGACCTGCACAGGGTCGAGGTCATGTCTGAGTGAATTATGGTCTTGCTTGGGGAGAACTTGGTGCAGGGAAGGCTGGAAGGTAGAGAGGTGCTGGGGAAAGTTCTGGGCAGTAAAGATGCTATCTCTGGTTATCATGAAGGACAATTGAGAGATTATTAAAAAAGAGAAAGTTATCTGTGTACGGCAAAACAGAGCCAAATCCCTAACATTGGAGAAGTTCTTCTCTATGCACAGATACATTGTATCAGGGCTGGCTGTCACCAACAGCTGCTCATTGGCCAGGACTGGAGGCCCAGGGTATCAGGGGGGATCCTGTTAACAGAAGAGGGCCCATTCCTCACCCTGTCTTCCTTGGGGTTCAGTAGCAGATGTTTTGGGTTTCTGTCTATCTCATAAATCAGGGCACACCCTACATGGAGCAGCTTCATGGTCCCCTTCAGCTGAGCATTCTGGGAGGATTCCTGCCACCTACCATGTGCGCACTGCATGGCCGCTCAGCTGACCACATTGCCCCAGAAGTTGGAACCAGGGACAGGAGAGAGGCCACTGGCCCCTTCCCTCACCCTTGCCTTCTCTCTTTCCTGAAGTTCCCCTCATGAAAGGAGGAGCCCTCGGATGAAGAGGCCCATTTCTGTCTGTGGCCACTGGGTCCTTGGGTTGTCTTTCTATAACACGCCTGGTAAAAAAGAAATGCTGGGTTTTGGAAGTTGAACCCCTCGCCATCAAGATGGGGGTCTCCTGGGTGGGAGAGCTACAGGTAGTCAGCAAGCAGCACCTGCAGGACTGTGGGCGGGGAGGGGGGGGGAGAGGAGGGAACAGTGGACCAAGGGAGTGAGCCTCGTGGGGCCAGGAGTTCAAGGACCAGAGAACAAAGCAGGGGGTGTGCATTTAACCCAGACTCTAAGGAGCCCATACAAAGTTGGGGAGATCGCCTGATGGGGAGGTGGCCCTGGGGACTCAGAGTACCTGAGCTCAGAATCTGCCTCCTTCTCGGCTGGGACAGGGTCAAGGTAGTTCTTGTCAGCATCTAGTGGCTTCTAGAACTTGGGATAAAAGGTGCATTCAGCTCTAATGAGTGTCCTTGACAGGTCGGGAATAATGACACATGGTCTTTAAAAATCTTCCTTTAAAAATGCTTAATGCCCAGTGGGTGGAGCATGGCTATAATTCAGCTACCCAGGAGGCTGAGGCAGGAGGATCACAAATTCAAGGCCAGCCTGGGTGGCTTAGCAAGACCCTGCCTTAAAATAAAATTTTAAAATGGCCGAGGGTGTAGTTCAGTGGTAGAACACTTGTCTAGCAAGCACAAGGCCCTGGGTTCAATACTTAGCACTGAAAAAAAAACTTACAAATGTAGCACTGCAATATTTGAAAGAATGTAAGAAAATTCCAATTTTAAAATAATTATAAATAAAAACGTAATCACAAAAAGGTAACAATGGCTGTCTGGATGGTGTGATTACAGATTTTTTAATTTTCTTTGCATTTTTCCTGGTATTTACAATGCCTATTTTGTTTAATCATAAAATGCAATATTTTAATGTTATATTTAATATTATAATGTGACACACTCTAGATCTGTGAGCTAGTTTGTGAGAATTATGAAAGCATTGGTTTGAAGTACTGCTTGAAGGTCTTTGCTGTTGACAAAACGGCATAGCTAACCCTTGTGCTAACCTTTCATTCACTCCACAAACACCAAAGATGCATTGCTTTCTGGGCACTGAAGTTGGTGTTGGAGACCCGGACAAACCAAATCCACCCTGATTGCCTTCAAGAGGCCCACAGAACGCAAATGCTTTTAGTCACATCTTCAGCTACGTCGCTGTGCCATGGAAAGTTGAGACAGCCAGTCTCATCTGGGTGTGGGAGCGAAACAGGACTCTGAGCAAAGACGTAATCCCAGAGTCAGGGTGCTCAGGGCTTCTGGCCACCTCCACGGGGCCCAGGCTTCTTGCTGTGGTAACTGTAGTCCTTGGGGCGAAATGCACTCTCCAGACATCTGCACCTCAGCATTCGTCCAGCGTAGGTCTGAGGCCTCTTCTTCAGGGCCACCGAGAAGCTGGACATTGAAAAAGTCACCCCCACCCGAAAACTAACTTTATGCAGACCAGGGATGCATTTAGGGTTACAGGAAAGGCTTCTTAGAGTAAAAATCTTGGGGATGTTACAGAAAAAAACATTCAGTGACACTTGTGAAACTGTGGCAAGAAGGACTTTGTCCAGGACCATCCAGGTATTGGGGTGTCGGGACCACTCAGTATGATCTTGCAGGGAGCACTGAGATTAGGGTTCACGTCACCTGCAGCGTGGCCAAGCGGGAGTCTTCGCCCAGGCAGGGTGAGGTCAGTGGGTGGAAAATGACGGAGAAGCGCAAGGGCCAGGACCCGGGCTGTGCTGACCTGAAGAATCATGGGTGCATTCAGGACAGGGAAACCTGATGTCTTCTGGCACAGGATGAGGGGCCTCCCCAGACACCAGGGTGAGGGATGCTGAGGGCGTGAGCTCTTTGCTAAAATCAGACTTGAAGGGCCGGGATTTAGCTCAGTGGCGCCGTGCCTGCCTTACAAGTGGAAGGTCCTGAGTTTGATCCCCTGCACCGAAAAAAGTCCGACTTGACAAGGTCTTGCACAAATGGGTGTAGGAGAAGGTTCAGAGGTCTGATGAAAGCTGTCCAAAGAAAGAGCCTGTTGGGAGGTTTGACAGCAGTGATAATCCATCTGCAGCAATGCTCTGTCAGTAGTAGAACGGCAGCAACCCTCAGCCAAGGTTGCACACGACCTTAGTATCTAAAATTGTTTTTCTTTGAGAAACAAAACTAATGCCTTTCATTAATGAAGGGCCTTGACCAGAATCAACACAGAATTAGAGTGGGGTGGGGGCTTTGGCCTTTTCTCCCCCTCTCCAGGCTGTGCCTCCTCAGACTGGGTCAGGGTGAACAGGTCTTCTCACAAGGTGGTTACACAGTCTGGAGCTGAACCGCAGCCTGCAGGGAAAGTAAATTGCTATTAGACTTCCGCTTTCTACTGTCGCCCTGTGTCTTTTCCCTCTTTCTTTGATATATAGAGTACTTCTATGCTGGTTAAACTTCCCATTTAGCTCTCTGTTGCAAAATATCAGATGGTGTCAGCATGGAAAGAGAGAAAAGAGGAAGACACAGAGGAGAAAAGAGGTGAGAGAGGGGAAAGAGTCCAGATTCTCAAGAGCCGAAGCCACATGGGTCTGTCTTCCAGAGGGGCAGCACCAGATCCGCAGATGAGGGCCTCACAGATAGGCTCAGCTGCAAGAGCCACCATGTTCACACAGGCCAGGGTCCCATCCTCGTCCTCGGAAGGACTTCCTCCTGGCACGCGCTTCCCAGCACTTCCGCCTCCCTGACAGCGATGGCCTTTGTGACTTTCTCCTTCACCTGACTGAATTTCTGTCCCTTTTGGCCTAGGACATTAGGCCAGTGGAGCAACATATTTCCTCCGTGATATCTAAAAATAATTAGTTAATAAATTCAGTGATGCACTTTAAATAAATGCTCAGATGTGATGGGGAGGACATCAGAGACACTTTCAGAAGCCTTTGTGGGGTTTGAATACTTCATAAAAGAAACTTTTAATTACAAAAGCATTACGCTTTTTTATCTGAGCTGTGAGAAGTGAAAATGTGAACCCACTTCAGGGGATCACCTAGGGTTTCAAACACTTGCTGCAGCAGCTTTGTAACAGGGCAAGTTGGCTAGGCCGACCTAAGCTTCCTGGAGTTCTGCTCTTGTCGTGTTTCTAGCTATTGCGAGGGATTAGAGACATGTGCGACATCTGAAGCCCAGACGTGAAGCTGCTCCCGTGTTACCCTTTACCCTCCCAAGGCGGGGCAGGTGCAGCTGTGGCTCACGCACACTGCCCTGTCTGTCGACTCATGCTCTTGCTTCAGGCAAGGGCACTCATCCCAGTTTCCTGTGGACCCTTTTCCAGCCTCTCTGTGTCCTGGGCAGGTAAGTGCTTAGCTCAGTGGCGGAGGGTGCCAGCTTCTTCCGCAGGGAAAGCTGCCTGCCGGTTTGGAGAAGTGATCTGGCTCCACCCTTCCTGTGGCTTCAGCTGGTCTTTGCCCTCTCCCGCCTGCACCATCTTTCCCCCTGGCTGCCCTTACTCAGGGCCCTGAGCTCTTGCAGCAGAAGTGATGGCAACGGCCTCACAGAAACCATTCAGCCAGACCCACAACCAGCTCTTATGACTCACGTGTCCTGCAGGGTCTGCTTCTCTGATTAGACCCTGACAAACACAGTCTGCACCAGCTATGTTCCAGTTCCACAAACTCCTTGAAAGCCCAGGAGTAGGGTCAGAGAAACAGTGTCTGGAGGCAGCATCTGTGCCTGTATGAGAACTGACGGTAGAAAGGAAGTAGAATGAACAGCCATGGTGGAGTTAGCGCTTCCTGGAGGAGCAAAGAGTGCCTCCAGTGGACGGAGGTGTGAACTGCATCTGTCCAGATTTACTGCCCAGACCTGGAACAATACTGGGGCCAAACTGAAGACCCCCCATCCCCTTAAGGACCCCATCTCATATGGTTCCACCACTGCCTCAAATGTGTCCCCGGGGACTAAGATGTTGGATACCTTTCTACAGGAGGGCATTCAGGCCTTAAGATCATCACAAAGAAATCCAAGACCAGAAACCTGAAATTCTTGCCCTGTAAGGTGAAGAGCCTCAATTCACAGGTAAGGAAAGATTAGGAAGTGCAGATGATCAAGCAAGGCTTTTTCTTCTTTTTATTTTCCTCCTCTCCCTTCATCCCCTCACCCAATTAAACCATGGGAGGAGAGAACAGAAGTGAAGGTGGAGACCCAGCAGCTTGGTGAGGTCCATAGAGGTGGCAAGTCCTCTACACAGAGACTGAACATAGCAGCAGACAACAGCCAGGTCATACACAAAAGTAGAACTCGGGCCACAACCTGCGGCAATGAGCCCAAGAAACAAACCCATTATCTACAGGAGTTAGCCCAGGAAATCAGCAGAGTCTATAAGACAGACAGACTGGTAGGAAACAAACCAGTATTCCTAGCAACTTGTACAGAAAGAAAAATAATAACTCCTGTGAGTTAGTCAGCTTTCTGTCACTATACACGATGCTTATATAATCATCTTATAAAGAGAAAGATTTCTTCTGGTTCACCATTTTAAAGGTTCTGACCAATGATCTTTGGCCCTCATGCATTTGGGCCTGTGGCAAGGTAGCAGGGTGGACACAGAAGAACAAAACTGGTCCCTCCGTGGCCAGGAAGCAATGATGAGGAGGGAGCTGGGGTCCTACAGTCACAGGCCCAAGAGAGCTCACAGTGCACATGGTAGAGTGCCGCATACACCCAGGTTTGCCCTATTCCAGGGCCGTGAGATTTCCATCTGCCTCGCAGCTTTGCTACCACACTACCCAAATCCACAGGAAATTCCCGAGGCTTTGGTTGGCTCTAATGAGAGTCTTCCTCAGGAGAAATGGGTTGGGCTTTCTTCCTGGCATGGGCTGTACCTCACTCTTAAATTTCATTGGTTGACAAACCCTTATACCATGCCTGCAATGCGCCAGACACTGACCTAAGCAGTTCACAGATGTCGACTCAATGAACCTTCCCAATGGCACCATTATTATCACTCCCATTTTACAGATGAGGAGATGGAAGCACAGGAAAACTAAGCGACTTACTTCCTCAAGGTCGAACGGCCAGGACGTTCTGCAGAGCTGACTTCACATCCAGAGACAGCGTGTGCCTGAGGACTTCCCCTTCCACTCTGCCTCCTGCTTCCTGTTGCATGCAGAGAGGGAGACAGGTCAAGAGCTCAGAGTTCCCAGGAGGGGAGCTCCTGGCTGCACCTGGGTCTTCAGAAATACCCAGCACAGGGTAAGAGCTGACCTGGCCCGGACGTCGCTCTGGCAACTGTGACTTCTGGCTCAAAACCAGATCCTCCTTTATTTCTAATGATTGGAAGGTGCCACTGGCATCCACGAAGGCTGCTATTTTGAGGCTGAACCCAGTTTAGGAAGCACCTCTCCTGAGCATCCCTCCACTGAGCATTCCCTCTCCCCTTGGCCCAGGGCACAGACCTGGCTGCGCAGGAGAAGGGAGCCAGCAGGTGGCGCTGTGTAGGCTGAGAAGTTACCAGGCTGCCCCAGCCTCCCACGTGTCAATCTCTGCCTCTGGGTCGAGATGAGATGCTGGACCTCGCACCCGTTGGAGACTTCTCGGGGATAACAGGAAAAGGCCTGGGAACTCTTCCGGGCTACCAGGCACTCATCACTGGAGACCAAGGGCACGGGAGGAGAAGGTTAGGAAGAGGAACAGAGCTAGGAGAGAAGATGCCTTAATAACGGTGCACAGTGACCAGCACTTAGCAGGGCTCTGCCGGTTACTAGTCGAGAAGCCTCAACACCCTCCTTAATCGGATCAACTTTTGGTTTCCATAGCTATAAACTAGGACTAATAATCACATCTACCTCTCAGGGTCGTTTTGGAGGATGTGTACGTAAAAGGCATAGTTCAAGATTGAGCACATAATAGGAATTCAAGAAATGTTAACTACTGTGGAAACAATTCTGAAGATACAGGGAAAAAAATCAAACCCAGTCTTACGCTCCATCTTACTGCGTCTGATTCTAAGTGTGGTAGGGTTTTCCTCACCCCCACCTGCAGGTCTTCAGCAGTGGGGCTCAATTCTGATGCCCCAGGCTTAGGGCTCAGTCCCCAAGCCTGCCCCTCCAGCCCCACTTCGGATGCCAGTCACATCCTGGGTTGTTTCCCTGGGCTTCTGGCCCACAGGCTGCAGATCTGGGGTCCCACAACCTCTCCATGGGCTCCATTAATTTGCCAGAGTAGCTCAGGGAAATATTTACTCAGCCCCTTATTATAAAGGATATTACAGAGACAGACTCACCGCAAGGGCTGCAGCAAGGGGTGTGGAGCCTGCAGGCCTCCCTGGGCACCCCCTCCATGCACCCCCATGTGTCTGGTTATCTAGGAGGTCTCCAGACCCCATTCTTTTGGGGTTTTATGGAGGCTTCATTACACAGACATGATCGATTAAGTTATTGGTCACTAGTGATCAACTTAACCTCTCACTCCTCACTTCTTCACTTCTCCCAGAGTTGGAAGCTGAATGGGAAGGCCTCAACCCCTCTACTCCTGCTTCTGTTTTTCCATTGCGCAGTCCCTCTCTGGAAACCACCTAGGGGCTGCGGGCCTTGAGCCAACTCATTAGCATACAGCAAGATTCCTCACTTTGAAGATCCCAAGGATTTTCACAGTTATATGCCAAGAAATGAGGTTGAAGACCAAAATGTATTCTTCAATTTTACAATAATAGCCCCAGTTCAAATGCAGTTTGGATTTTACATGAATCCACTGTGACATATGAATTCATTGGTGTAGTCCCCATTTCATATATTAAAAAGTTAATAGATTGGGATAGGCTAAACTACTTACCCAAATAAGGTAAGTAATAGACATGCAGAGTGAGAATCCAGCCGTGGCTTCCTGCTTCCAGTGTCATGGTCAGCACATCACCTTGGTGTTAGCAGCCACCCCTTCCTCATCTCAGCTCAAGTCCACACACATGCACACACACGCACACACTCACACACACACACACTTACTGCAACCCTGTCTTATTCCTGGGCTCTACAATAGCAAGCTCACACCATTTGGTCACTGGCTTTCAATATCACCCAGTCTAGTAGAGTAACCTGAAGGAGGGAAGAGCAGCCAGGCAGCTTTGAATCCAGCCATCAGGTGTCCAGTGGGCATTTCCTTGTTGGCAGCCACAGACGTGCTGAAGCACCATTGGAAAATCCAAAGGGTGGTGGCTGAGCCCCAGCTGAAAGTGTGGAAGTCCTTATTATGATCCTCAATATCAAATCCCTGCTAGGAGCATCAGCCTGCTAAAAATAAGGAAGTTATTTCCCAGGATTAATCAAAAGAAAGAAGGAGGTGGGAAGGTAGGGGATTCAGCACTGGGCTGGGGAAGGGGGGAAGTAGAAGACGACAAACATTAAAATAGCAGCAAATGAATACCATGTAATTTCCAACAGTTGATAATGTCACCCTGCAAGGTTGGTAATTCTGCTAAGATAATTGCCCTTCTTTTCCCAAGATTACTGTCTTTACCAGAGAAAGAAATGATTGCTGTGTGTGAGAAATCCTGCTGCCTCCTGCTGCATGAGAGGTGGGAGTGACTAATGAGAGGCCAGGCTTTCAGAGTGCCAATACCTCGTTCACGCACGCTGATGTCCAGAGTGAGACAGCAGGACGTGGAGGTGCCCAGTGGGTAGCTAAGAGCAGGATGGAGCTTGGCGTCCCCACCTTCATTTTGTGTTCATTTCATGTATTGCTTTAAACTTGGGTGTAGCTCTCACATAGGCAGGTTAACACTTAAGAAAGGCCTGCCTGTGTCACCAGCCCTAAATGCGTCTGGTGTCTCATCCCCTTCAAGATTTAGGATGGCGAAAGAGGAGTAACTGAAGTTACATTCAGGATTTGTAAGAACATCCGAGTTCCAGCTTTTACAATACCCAGTTCTGGAGCCCCCCAGTGATGCCTAGAAGTCTGGAGTCATTGTCCTAAGCCCACAGTCCCCTTGGATTTGGGAAAAACTGAGCCTTGTAGGTGCCTGATGAGGTTGCCCACCAAGCGGGAGCCGTTACCCATGACGGAATGGAGGTTGCCCCTGCAGGAGGGGCCATCATTGCATGACTGCCACCTCATGATGGAGACTAGATGGCTCCTCAGGTTCATGTGGTTCTCCCAGGAGCTCTCAGAACCAGTCCTGACTCAACTTGACCAGGATGACCCATGCTGCCAGCTAGGCAAATCCCAAACCTTTCTTTTGTTCCCCCCAAGGCCAAGGTCTTGGTCAGCCCCTTGAACTCAGATCTTGAACCTCTTTAGCTGTGCTTCCCAGAATGGCCATGTTAATTAACTCTCACCACTGCTGTTCTCCTGATTAGAGTTGGAGACAAGTAGCTGAGCCTGGTCTGTTGGGGCCCCTGGACCTAAGCTTTCACCCTAAAAATAGCCCCCGCACTGGTCACCTCAGACAGCTCATGCACAGAATTTAAGGTTGATACATCCATTTGGTAACCATCAAATGGTGCCCACTGACATCAACAAAGCAGCTAATACGTACTGAGCTTGTGATTTGCTAGACATGTAATATTAGAGCAATTAGAGCAGTTTGGTACCACTGGCATCTTTATTTTACAGATGAAGAAACTGAGGCTACTGGGGCTGAATATCATAAGGAGTAAAAGGTGTTCTTGGGGCTCTGCCTAGCCTGTCTCAGCCCAGACTATAAGCCCTTATCCAAGAGAATTTACCTTCCAACCCTCAGATCCCTCATGTACCACAATGTCCAGCAGAGGACAAGACACCCACATGTGGTAGGCCCTGTAGGACAGTGCTCTCTAACTTTGGTGGGCAGCAGGGTTATGTTGAGAGCTTGTTAAAACAGTTTCCTTGGACTGTCTACAGATATTCTAATCCAGTATGACTGGGGAAGGGATTGGGAAATTGCTTTCCCAGTAAGCTTCCCCATGATCCTCAATTTGCTGGCCCAAGGTACACACTTTGAGTAGCACACCTTGAAAGCCATTCTATCTCAGCCTCCACCTTTAGGACCAGCTACACAGACATCATGGCTGAATCTCCATTTTTCCCCCTGGCACTGGGGATCAAACTCAGGACCTTGAGCTTGTGAGGCAGGTGTGGCACCACTGAGCTAAATCCCTGGCATGAATCTTAATCCTCTTGCATGACCAAAACAACTTTTTTACCAAATCAGAATAAAGAAGATTGATTTTGATGGAGACATTGAGAAAAAATAGACTCAAAGGCTAATAACACTGCTGTGTCAGATGGAGAACTGGGGACATGGTTGGTAAAGGAATTTACCAACAGACAAGGAACACAGGAGAGAGAAGAATTTATTTAGATTGCTGGGTACACTGTCAGGAAGGACAGCTGACAGCTTTCCAAGAGAGGAACTGCATAGTCAGGATGAGAGATCAGGGTTTGTATAAGAGAATGAAGATGTGGGAAAAGGTCACAGTTGGCAAATGTAGATATTTTAGAAACACATTTTCCAGGTAATCTTGTTCCTTGTCATCTTCCAGGAACACCTGTATTGTAACTAAAGTTGTACCCTAAAGTTGTAAACTGTCAAGCTCTTTCATGTAGGCCTTACAAAAGACCCCTTTGACTTAGATAAGCACATCTGCTTGCTTTAACCTTTTTGGGAAAAGATATAACATTAGCTCAGGAAAAGATGGCTTTTGTGTTTACTTTTATCTTGTGGTGTTTTTAGTCCTTATTAGTGTAATGCCTCATGATTGCCCAATATGTGCTGGGCACAAGTGTTGTTATAGCTGCTTTTCAGAAGGAAAGGTTTATTCCAGCTCACAGTTTGTAGAGGTTTCAGTCCGCATAGTTGGCTGGCTCCAAGGCAGGGTGGCATGGCAGAGGGGTATCAGAGAGGAGAAACAGTCCACGGCAGGGCAGGCAGAAGGCAGTAAGCAGCAAGCAGCAGCAGCAACAGCAGTAGAAGCACCATCGAGCCTGGCATCCCTCTTTCACTTTATATTCCATCCAAGCTACAAGCCTTTCGGGCAATGCCACCCACACCCATTATCCCATTATCCCATTATCCACACCCAGAACTATGCTAATTCAAATCAGTGGACTAATTTAGTGTCACACACCTTTAATCCCAGTATCATACACCCTGGATCCAGCCAGCTCCACAAACTACACTTATAAGTGCATAAGGCTTTAGGGGGACAACTAGATGCAAGCCACAACAAGTATGTTATCAAAGAAGTTTGGGTGCTGAGAAGTTTCACCTTTTGTCACATTTACCCAGATCTTTGCCTAGCCTGAGTGAATTGTGTAGAGATCTCATACTTTTTTTCCAGGCTTAAAAGCAATGCTGCTTAAATTAAAAAAAAAAAAAAAAAACAGCTATCTTAGTTTTGCTTAGCACTTTTAAATAAAGTACTTTTCTTCATGTAGCTTAATACATAGCCTACACTCATAAGTGCATCTTATATAGTGTGAGGATAATTAAAATAGGAAACCCACTGACTATAAAATACTCATCTCAGTCTATCTTGGTCTGGGCACCTGAACAGAAAGGAATTAAGAATTGTGGTTGTTACTGAGAGAGCAACAAGCACTTCAGACATCTGTCATTCTAAACACAAGAGAAGCTGTTGGTTTATAGAGTCATAGTTACAAAATTCACATATTATACCGGTAAGTGCTATAGTAAGATGTTTGAGGAGGAAGAGAGATAAACAGTGGCAATGTAGCTCTTGAGCCCCAGTCTGTCAAGGGAAGACAGAGGGACCTGGAGGGATGGAGGGAATGGGGGGAGGGAAAATCAGAGCAGCCCACCCCATGAACCTGCTAGCACTGAGTATTTAGAGCACGTCATTCTGTTTGGTCTCTGAAAATGCACTGGACCCATTAATGAATTCATTCCTGGATTAGATCTGGGGGGACGGGGGAGACCAAAAGCCAAGCTCCAGATGTGAGCCTTGATTTGTGAATGGCTGGCTTCTCTTAATCCTTCAAAACCAGAAATCCTAACAGCTCAAGGGGTCTCTTTCAGGATCTGGGTCAGGGCAAGCATAATCTCTCCCTCTGCTCTCACCTCTCAGGCCCCTCTTCCTCCTCCACCTGCTTCCTTCTCTCCCTCCAGAGGGCGAATGATCCCCTCCCCATAGTGTATTTGTATTGCGTGGTGTTTTGTGTTACCTCACCTTGGTGCTTCCATCAAATAGAAAAGGAAGGTCACTCCCAGGGTTTCCTTCCCAAGGGGTTGGATTGGGAGCAAGTGGGAAGGGAAGGAAGAACACCCATTCCCCTCATTAAAATGTTTCTGGCTGCAGACCCAGGAGGGAATGCCCCAGAGCAAGAGGACCTAGAGGGAGCGCCACCTTCCTACTCATGGATACTCTCATTGCATGAGCATCTATCACTGCAGCACAAGGTAAAGTCACACACTTTGGAGTAGCAATAAGACCCAGCCTACCAAAGACCTACTATGGAAGTTTATCTTTATTTTCTTTAGTTATTTCAAAACAAAAGCACTCTCACTGGTTCTGACTGAGCAGTCTCCTATTTGCTCTCCCTGGTCCAGGCTGGGCCTCTTGCATGTGCTCTGCCCACTCACAACACCTCCACGTTTCCTTAGAAAGATGCTGACCAAGGCTGTGTGAGGAAGCTGGAGAAAACAAGCCATCCCCAGACAGGGGTGGCAGATTTCCTGATGGAGGAGATACAATGGTAGCCTTGTTTAATTACCACTCCCCCCAACACACATATCTAACCCTCACCCTCACCCTCACCCTCACCCTAACCCTAACTCTAACCCTGAGCATTGAACCCAGGGCCTTTGCACTGAGCTACATCTCCATCCCTTTTTTACTTTTGAGATAGGGTCTCACGAAGTTGCTAAGTTGCCCAGGCTGGGCTAGAACTTTCTATCCTCCTGCCTCAGCTTCCCAGAGTGTGGGATTATAGGCGTGTGCTACCACGGTTGGCTTTAATTACCCTTTTCAATGGGGGCAATTCAGAGGTGAAGGGCACAGGTGTGATGAGGATAATCTGGAGTAACTGGTTCACCAGAGTGATGGAGAAGGGAGCAGGAAGACAGCTCGGAGTCCACTTCTCTTCCAAAATAAGACTCCACTCAGTTCACCTGGTGGGGTTCCGCCAGAGCTGCCTGCTGAGGCCCTGGAGATGAGCTCCCTGAGACAGCAGGCTCAGGAGAGCCTGACCCCTGAGGCCCACACTGCCTGGCTAAGACTCCATGCCATGGGGTGGGCTGCTGCTGAGCCCCGCATGTGCCACTGCCTTCATCACGCAGGACCAGGCGAGGCTGTGCATAGTTAGAACCAACTCGTGCTTTTGCCTTCTCCCATCCCTTTAGATTTTGTCCAGTGGCAGCAGCTTTACCTCAGTGCTGGATGAAAACTTAGCAGTCTCCATGTTTTGGGCTTGCTCTTACATGATAAACAGAGCTATAGCAACTTTGGGTCTCAAGCAGTAGGATTGAAATTACACACTCTGATTACCAAGCTGTTGTTTTTCTCCACAAGTTGGTATCATTGTGCAGTCGAAGACTGTGCGATGATATTTAACCTAAAGAAAGGGACAGAGCAAATTTAACTCATCACCTGTCCTAGTTGGTGGTCCAAAGGAGTGTTAAAGTTTTCTGATTAGGTATCATCTTCACTTTGAGTATTTAGTGTGTCTCAGAAATAACCTTTTGTTCCTATCCCTCAGTTTCCCCTTCCTCCCTGCTCCAGCAGCTGAATTCCTTTCTCTTAGTTCAGCTGCATTTTGCACATCTTTATTGAGATGCACAGTGTGAGCCTGGTATAGTGACCACCATGCCTATAAGCCCAGCACTATGGGAGGCTGAAACAGGAGGATCACAAGCTTTAGTCCCACTTGGGCAACTTAGTGAGGTCCTGACTCAAAATAAAAAGTAAGGAGGGGTACAGATCAGCTCAGGGCAAAGGCCCTGGGTTCAAGTCCAAGGAGGTGGGGGAGAAACGGAGACAGAGAGAGAGACAGGGAGACAGGGAGAGGGAGGGAATCATGTGCACCTGGCAACATGTTTGGTGTTGCATGGAAAATAAGGGGTGAGTAAAGAATGATCCTGATTTCAGGATTTTCTCTGTCTCTTTTCCTGTATCTCTAATCTGTCTCCCCATCTCCCTCAGTGTTACAGACAGATGGCATGTAGGTAAGGAGGGAGACTGACAGAGGGCCGATAGATAAATGGTGTGGTGGACACCATTATAGATGGCATGTGCAGCTAGATACATGCACAGCACCAAGATAGAGACGGAGATACATTCTGATGGGAGTGGAGGAGAAAAGGGGCTGAAGCAGAGCAGAAAGCTCAGAAGGAAGCGTGCTGGTGCACTGGCTTCAGCAGCATGGAAGAAGGTGCTACAGACACGGTGTCCCGGAAGATCCCGGAGTGTGGTCCCGGCAAGCCCTTCTGGCCCTTCTTTTGTTCCCCTCTCTGGCCAGTCTCACCAAGCTGTCCCCCGGGGCCGAATGTCCACACCACGAGCTCCATGCTCCACACCAGCCCCGTCGCTCCCTCCTTTGCCCTGCACAGACACCTTCCAGCTGAAAGCCGGTCTTCTCCATCACCACTTCAGGGAAGCTTGCCTGCATTCAGGATGGAGCCAGACTCCCCTATATTCTCCAGGCCCTATATTCTCAAAATTGTCATTCAAATGAATATAAAAGCGTGCCTCTGGGCTTCCCTACAATGCAGCACTGAGAGGTTAGGAAATAATTCTGTCTTGGACATCAGTACATTACCAGCGCCCTGGAACAATGTCCTGCCCCATGGAACTCAATAAATATTTTTGAGGGGATCAATAAAGCTGGCCTTTAGGATTCGTCCTCCTCCTCTCCCCCTTTCCCTTGGTTTCCCTTCTTCTCATTGGTTCTGCACTCTGTCCAAGTCCTCCTGTGGTCAGGCAGGACCAGAGTTCCCTGCATTGAGAGCTCTCATGTGTCCTCCTCAGGGACACATGCAGGCATTGCAAATAATTCCTGGGAAGACACCTTTGGCCCTTGCCTGAGAGGAGGGCGCACTTCAGCTTTACCTGGGAACTTGTTGGAACCTAAGGCCCAAGCTCTGCTGCTGAGGAGCACAGGACTAGATGTGCAGAGGAGAAGGGAGATCTCAACTATCTGCTGTGTCCTCTGGGAGGAAGACAGAGATGGAGTTAGGAACGCAGTGGGTTACTGGAAGGTGACAGAAGGAAAATGAATGGGAAAGGAAGCAGAACTCAGAGCACAGTGCTGATCTCACACTTGTGAAAGGAAAGAGGGAAGAAGGGTTGGGCGGGAGGTCTCACAGAGGATGCCCCCAGGATGAGGCTGTGCAGGAAGGGCAGGAGGGGTCAGCTGAGCCTGTCAGCTAACTGCACCCGGCCCTGAGAACCAGCTTCTTTCTTAAGGGAGATCTGAGCGGTTTATCTCCATGGCTGCCACAAGTGACCTCTGGAGGTAATTTCGCAAGAAACCTGGCAGAGCCAGTGCAAGCTCAGGAAGCAGATGTAAGGAAACAGCACGTTAAGGCGGTCTGAGAGCTGGGCCTTCTAGGACTGTTTATACACGTTCTCGTCCTTCAGAGAGCCATCTTCCCTAGGGTTCCTGGAGGACAAGCTCCAGAAGTCTTGCCCCTGGAGGGTCCAAGGGCAGCGCCTGTGAACTCATATGGGGTAAACAAGATGCAGAGGTCCTGGGTCTCTGATCTCACCCTCTAGGAGTTCAGCAGGGCACACCAGATCCTGAGGAGATTCTCGGAGCCACCAAAAGGCAGGGGCTGGGGCTGAGCTCAGAGAAGAGCACTTGCCCAGCATTCACACATCCCTGAGTTCCACCCCTAGCATGCCAAAACAAAGCAACAAAACCCAGAAACAAAAGAGCGTGGTAGGGGTGGAGCAGGGGTGGGAGGGGGGGGCACTTGGTGAGGATGGGATCTCTGTGGCCAGCCAGTGAGGCCTCTCCAAGCTGACCTTCACATCTGTGCCCCTTCCTCATTCGTGCACAGCTGCAAGACAGCCAACCATGTCACAAAGCCACACACGATGCACACCTTTATGTGCACGGAGTTCCCAGCAGCCCTACGTGCACACCCTAAAAGCAGCATGCACATGACTTCTCAACCCTGACATGCACGCAGGTGTCTACATTCAGCTGGTCCAAAAACACTTGAGTGCCCAGAGCTAAGTATCCCAGTCACCACAATGGGCAGGTCACTTCGTGGACAAGAGGCTGTGCTATCCACATATGTAAGTCCCAAGCAATATACAAGAATAAAAATAGATGATACAATCAGACCTCCAAAAATACAGCCACTTCATGGTGATTTAAAACCAACCAACACCCAGAGTTGTGTCTGGGACTGCCAGATGTGCTGTGAAAGCCATGTCCCTTGTTACTGATCCCCTCTAAAATCCTGCCGGAGCAAGGGCAGGGCAGGGACAGACACTCACCTTTCCTGGCCCACAACAGCAGTACACGACCTCAGCTCCTACAGTCGGAACCTGATGCTCCGTGCAGTGCAGGAGCTGGCGCTTCCTCTACACAGGGCTAAGCATCTCTGCAGCAGGGGAGGAGTGCAGGGAGCAAGGGCATCCACCTGACAGCTTGGGTCAAATCCTGGCTTTGGTCCTTTCTACCTGTGTGACCTGAGGCAAATTAGTCAACCTCTCTGTGCCTTAGTTTCCTTTTTATAAAATGGGGATAATAACAGCACCTACAAAATGGGCTGCTGCAGGAATGATATGCGAGTCGACACTTGGAAACCCTACATACTAGGTGCAAAGTAAAGTGCTCCCATGAACCTCTCCATCTGGATGCCACACACAAACCTCCTGCTGTTGCCAGCTCCAAGCTTCCAGGAGGATCAGCCCTCCGCAGGATTTTTAACCCCTAGTAGGGTTTGCAAGGGAGTTGGTGGGTGAGACCTAGGGCCTAGGGTGTGTCTGAGGGTATGACCCCGCTGGGTCTGCCCCCGGCTCTGAGGGCTGGGCTGGGCCAGGACTGGGCTTTTCCCAGATGGAGGGCAGGGGCCACTGCAGGGTTTCACCCTGTGACTGGACGGTTGCCAGGAAGATGGGAAGAGGACCCTCCTGTCTTCCTCTCCATCTCCTCTCTCTCCATATGCACACATTTCTTTCTTATATAGAATTAATATTTTTCTGTATAGCAACGTTATATTGCAAGATACAGTTGTAATATTGTTACTAGTACGTGTCTGTGATACATAATTACACTCTCTCATCTCGGAGCTGGTACACACGGAATGACTGCACCGTTTTTACTCCCCTCAGTCCCCTCTCCTGACCCCGCTCTTTCTCCATCCCCGTCCCACAAAATCTGTCTCGTTTTCTATCTCTTTTATTTTGCTCTTTATTTATATTGTGGAGAAGCCATGTGATTTGTAATCCTGCACCTGATTAATTCACTTAGTACTCAAGAACCATCCACTTTCTTACAAATGACTCAAATTAATCCATGTCTAAATAAATATATAAATGCGTATTTCCAGGCCTGTAGTTCCCCCGCCTCGCCAAAGCAGATACCCTTAGGCCTCCAGAGAAACAAAGGTCCTGGGCTGCTGTCAGACCCTCTTTCTCCACTCAGCTCCAAGCCTGGCCTCTTCGCCCGCGCCCGCCAGGGAATCTGCTTTCCCAGGAGATTCCCAGGTGATCTCAGGCCCAGCCCCCTTCTCCCGTTGCCCTGGGAGTTCACGCTCTGGGTACAACCTGTTCCTGGCTCGGCGCGCGGCTCCCTCCTGCCCTCCTGCCCTCCTGCGGGACTACAGCCCGGCCGGAGGGGGCGCGGGGCGGAGACGGCGCGGTGGGCGGAGGCCGCGGGTGGCGTCTGCGGGAAGGAGGCTTTTGGCTGCTTGGTAACGGCTGCCAGAGCCCAGAGTCTGAGGCGAGGCGGTGGCAGCCTGACGTCAGGACCCGGGAGCCAGCAGCCCTGCCCGCCCGACCAGACCGGCGGAGAGCAGCGGACGGGAGCGGCGAGCCCGGCAGGGCCCAGCATGCCCCCCGCCCCCGGGCCATGGAGATCGCGCTGCGGCCCCCGGAGGGCGGCGGGGCCGTGAGCGCCTGCGGAGCGGGCGAGGCCCCCGCAGCCCGCGCGCCGACCCCGGCGGGAGAGCCCCCAAGGCCCCCGAGCCTCCCGACGGCGGGGCAGCCCTGTTCGCCCCCGGGGCCCAGGGCGCACGGCGCGCAGAGGGGCGCGGCCCCTGGCGCGCGGCCCCCGCTGCCCCCGGAGAGGCCAGAGGCTGGACGGGGGGCTCCAGAGGAGGAGGACGAGGACGGGCACGGTGACCCCGGCCTGGGCGCGGCGGAGGAGCAGGCGCTGGGCGCGGGGGCCCCGCACCACCAGCGCGTCCTCATCAACGTCTCGGGGCTGCGCTTCGAGACGCAGCTGCGCACCCTGGCGCTGTTCCCCGACACGCTGCTGGGGGACCCTGGCCGCCGTGTCCGCTTCTTCGACCCGCTCCGCAACGAGTACTTCTTCGACCGGCACCGGCCCAGCTTCGACGCCATCCTCTACTACTACCAGTCGGGGGGCCGCCTGCGCCGGCCGGTCAACGTGCCCCTGGACATCTTCCAGGAGGAGATCCGCTTCTATCAGCTGGGCGACGAGGCGCTGGCGGCCTTCCGGGAGGACGAGGGCTGCCTGAAGGAGGACGAGAAGCCGCTGCCCCGAAACGAGTTCCAGCGCCAGGTGTGGCTGCTCTTCGAGTACCCCGAGAGCTCGGGACCCGCGCGGGGCATCGCCATCGTGTCCGTGCTGGTCATCCTCATCTCCATCGTCACTTTCTGCCTGGAGACGCTGCCCCAGTTCCGGGACGAGCGAGAGCTGCTCCGCCAGCCCTCGGCGCCCCACCGGCCCCCTGCGCCCTCCTCGGGTGCCAACGGCAGCGGGCCCGGCCCCACCGTGGCGCCTCTGCTGCCCAGCACCCTGGCCGACCCCTTCTTCATCGTGGAGACCACGTGTGTCGTCTGGTTCACGTTTGAGCTGCTCGTGCGCTTCTTCGCCTGCCCCAGCAAGGCCGAGTTCTCCCGAAACATCATGAACGTCATTGACATCGTGGCCGTCTTCCCCTACTTCATCACCCTGGGCACCGAGCTGGCCGAGCAGCAGCCCGGGGGCGGGGGCAGCCAGAACGGGCAGCAGGCCATGTCCCTGGCCATCCTCAGGGTCATCCGCCTGGTCCGGGTGTTCCGCATCTTCAAGCTCTCGCGCCACTCCAAGGGGCTGCAGATCCTGGGCAAGACCTTGCAGGCCTCCATGCGGGAGCTGGGGCTGCTCATCTTCTTCCTCTTCATCGGGGTCATCCTCTTCTCCAGCGCCGTCTACTTCGCGGAGGCCGACAGCCGGGGGACGCACTTCTCCAGCATCCCGGATGCCTTCTGGTGGGCCGTGGTCACCATGACCACCGTGGGCTATGGGGACATGAGGCCCATTACCGTGGGGGGCAAGATCGTGGGCTCGCTGTGCGCCATCGCCGGGGTCCTCACCATCGCCCTGCCCGTCCCTGTCATCGTCTCCAACTTCAACTACTTCTACCACAGAGAGACCGAGCAGGAGGAGCGGGCTGCCCTGAAGGAGGAGCAAGAGAGCCAGAGCGGCGGGTCTGGGCTGGACACGGGAGGCCGGTGCAAGGCCAGCTGGAGCAAGGCCTCCTTCTGCAAGTCCGGGGCGGCCCTGGAGAGTTCTGCGGGAGCCTGCAGGGGCAGCTGCCCCCTGGAGAAGTGCAACCTCAAGGCCAAGAGCAGCGTGGATTTGCGGAGGTCCCTGTATGCCCTCTGCCTGGACAGCAGCCGGGAAACAGACTTGTGACAGGAGAGCCGGGGTCTCTACCCCGCTGAGGGTCGCAAGCCCACCTTGCCCCTGGAGTCTGTGTCTCTGCCCCTTTCCGGCCTCCACCCCCCCATTTTCCTCTTCTTTCCATGACACCCAGGGTCGCCTATTTTTAAAAAGTACCAGTACCGCATTCCATGACGCAGGAGCTGTTGAATGGTGAGCGCCTGAGAGGGCTGTGTTTGTGGCCAATTTCCTATACCCCGCAGAGGGATAACCCAAACAGAAACGACCTTAAATAGCTGGATCCCTAGGGATCCTGCAGCCCTCCCCCTCCATGCGTTCCCAATTTGCTTTACACATGATTATATTTGTGTAGAGGGGAAAATATTATTTTTATGGCTGGTGAGTAGATTTTTGTACTGTAGTTCAGATAGTATTTGGATATATTCTCAAGAGATATATTGAATTATTGAATTTAGGGATGAGAGAGCCGTTGTGCTGTTTTCCTGGGATACTTAGAGCCCCAGACCCAGCGAGGCTGCTCCAGCTTCCATGATTCCAGGCCTCTGTTTTGGGGGTGACGTTGGTGCTTTGTATCTAGGTAAGGAATGTGCTAGAAGAAAGGCAGATCCGACTTTTTCTGTGCGCCTTAAACAATTCTCCTAACTTTCTTCACAAAGCATTTTAAGGATGTTGGAGGAAGCCTTCTGATAATTCATTCTCTTTATTTTTACTCTCAAAATAAAATATGACTTGGCTGAGGCAAGTGTTACTTTTTCTACCGACAGTCTTTTGGTTTTGAAATTTTAAGTCAGAGCTTGTTACTTGGTGTTTCTGGTTTTGGAATCAGGGCAAATGCCTTGTCTGGGTAGAAAGCTTGGGAAGCTGATGTCCTGCTTGGCACATCTTTGGGGTGGGTCCCTGAGCCCCGGTGTGGTGGGGGTCTGTAGGTCTCGGGCTGAGTGTGACTGACACCTGTGACACTGCGTCGGACTGGGCACCAGACACTCGGTCAGCCGGATGGGAGGGAGCGGTGAGCCAGGCACCCACCCCCAACCCCCAGGATTCCCTACAGTCCCCTTTCTGCAGGTTTCCTTCCTTCTCGGTACATACACCTCCCCCAGTGCTCAGAAACAAGCCCGATTACCACAGGCTCGAAGCCCGTATGCAGGGCACATGGGAGCCTAGCCTGGCGCTCAGGGCCTGGGGCGTGGCGGGCAGGGGACAGAGCAGTGTCTCCTCGCTGGAAGGTGGCAGCAAGGCTGAAGGGAGAACATGCTTGTTGCCTTTAAAGGCCATCTTGAGATCTGGCTGAACCCAAGACGAATGCCTTTGTTCCCCCGCACCGCACGGTTGTGGCAAATGCTGGTGTTTCTCTCTGGGATTAGCTCTGAGGGATCCTCTGCTGCTCTCTGCTGTTTTACACCCTCGCCACCGAGGGCTCAGGTCTGTCATCACAGCTCCTCCAGAATAACTGGGTCCTCAGAGCTCATTCTGGGAGTGTTGGGTCTCCCTATGGGTGAGGGAGGACCCCCTAAATCCACGTCTGGGAATTGTGGATTTAAATACGACGCAACCGGACAAGCCGGAGTCTGTGAATGCCTGAAGCCATTTCCAGTCAAGAACTGTTAATGGCCAGTCTGAGGAGGAAGCAGGAGGATTGGGCAGGCAAGCTGTGTTGTTTTTCATTCCATCCTAAAGTGGAGGAAGGACAGAGGCACTCTACGTATTTATGATTTGCAGTTTGCCTAAAAGCAGGGCATCTTGCCAAAGCTCGGCTCCACACAGCCTCGCCTCCAGCCCTCTGTGCCTTCCAAGCTCAGTGTCTGTGTTCAGTGCGCATCAAGTGATTGGACTGGGAGCGATTCCAGCCTCCCACCAGAACAAAGCCGACCCCCGGCCACTTTCAGCCAGAAGGGCTGTTCCTTTAGGCTTAAGAAAGGAAGAGTGAGCAGCACCCCGCTCTGTCCGATGCCTCGAAGTGGGTCGGTTTGATTCTGTTTGAATGGATGGAACCTTTAGACTATAAGGGATCCATTTTATACTCATGTTCAGGGAGGAGTGGAGGAAATGAGAATGTGAGGCTCCTGGTTGTATGTGAAGGAGAGGATACCTTATAGCAGGTTCACAAAAGGAGTCACAGTGGCTCCGGAGGGTCCTGGGGGTGGGCATGTTGGTCTGCTGCCTCAGCCTCCCTCCTGGGGGCAGTGGCCTGGGACCTGCCCTGTCACCTGCAGACTCGGCTTGCAGTTTCTCTGCATTCTCTGTGCACCTGTTGCTCCGATTATGGAAATCGCTGCACTCTGTTCCTCCAGTCATAGTGGTTTGTCTTTGGAATTAGCGAAAGAGAGATCTGAATGCCGTGGCTTCTCCCCAGGCTAACAGGTCAGGAGCCCGCTCTTCTGCCCTCCCACCGCCCCCCTCTCTGTGGTCATTGATTTCCCACAGCTTTTACCTTCCTGGGGAGATTAAATCAAGTGGCCTCAGCCCAGCTCTTTATCCAGATGTCTCTTCATGGCTCTCCTGGCAGGGAGCCCTCTCTAGACAGATAATCTGTCAGCCCCAGCAGCTTGGTCCCGGCAAGCAGGGCTGCGCCTAAGTGACCTGCACTGTGTGAGGACAGCAAAGCTTTGTTCCTCGTTCTTCAAAACGCACTGTTTTCTTGTTCATAAGCTCAGGCTCACTGAGCCCTAAGCAATTACAGATGCAGGAAAAATGCCTTTCACTTGCTTTAAAAGCAGAGTCCTGTGGTTCGTCTCGCTGGGCGCATGCTGGAGGGGAGGGTGAAACTGAGTCCTGGCCCTTGGGGGATTTCCCAGAGCTGAGATGAGATTTGCATTATTCTCAGTTAACATGGAAGATTCCCAGTTTGGGGCGACGGAGCAGAAAGAGGGCTTCTCTTGGGGCAGGGAAATGCTGCAGGTCCCCTCCAGAAATGACTGAGCAGACGCTGGGTGAGGGCCAAGCACTGTCTCACCTCCCCTCTGCATCAGGATGGGGTCCCTGTCCCTGGTGGGTCGTACCTCCTGGGGAAGACCCAACGGAGAGCACACCGAGTCTCTGGGGGCCCAGGGTGGCCAAGGACTTTGCAGGGCTCGGAAACCTCCTGTCCAAGAGCAGGTGTGGCTGGAAGCTAGAGGACCACGGAGAACGCCCCCTGGCGGTGACTGGGAGGGAAGGCAGGTGGCGAGGGGAGTGAGAGCCCTCCAGGGAGAATCAATCACTGCTGGGTCCAGGCTCTGGCCTTCGGGAGGGGGAGAGGCCAGGCTTCAGTGTCAGTGACCACAGGGGGACTCAGTGTCACCCGGAGCAGGGGCCTCTGCCGAAGTTCAGGGCAGGGACGGCAAAATTTCTAAAAGGGGCCAACTGGCGCATATTTTAGGGTTTGCAGGGCAGGAGGAAAAACTGCGGCTGTTGTGTAGGTGTTTGTACTGCATAACCACTTAATGTGCAATCCTTTATAAATGTAAAAATCTACGTCTGCAGGACAGCCAGTGCACGCCTGCCCCATCTGTCTGTCTGTCATGCGATGCCTGTGCCCTGCTACCTGCGGTGCCCGTGAGGCCTGCCCGTCTCCTCATACAGGACCGTGCTCTGTCCAGCCTGCATCTACTTGGAAGGCTGACCCTGCTCTGGGGAAGGTCCTCATGCTGGCATTTCCTAGCCCAGGAAGGCCTTCCAGGGGCGACGCACCTTTCTTCTACCACCTCACGAGATCAGACTTTTCTGCACGGCTGTGGGATGTGGTACCTTGTTTCCAGGGAGCAGGGAGTGCTGCTGGGACTCTGGGCAGTGGGTTTTCCCTGAGCTGCTGTTGGCAGGGTCAGAAAGACCTTCATTTTCTATTCGCAGCCTTTTTCCGGTGTGGGTCACAGAGGCTGCTGGGCAGTGCACTGCGCCTGCCCTCTCTGAGTAGGCTTTCATGGCTGTGGAGGAGCCCCAGGCTGGCATAGCCTCTGTGTGCCCACGGCAGCACTCACAGGAGGGGAGGCTCGGCCTGTCCCACAGCAGCTGGACCCAGGGCCACGGGCGATGGACAGAGCAGGGTACTGGCCACTGTCCCTCCACTCAGCATTGACTTTCTAATGTCAGACTTTGCACCATGGGACATTTAAACCAAAGGAATCTTACAAAACACCTGGCCTGTCACACTCTAATTTTACAGATGAGGCAATGGAGGCTCCGAGAAATAGGAGGGGACTTACGCAGGGTCACACCCCAGTTAAATACAGTGGGGCTGGAAGTGCTTCCCGGACTCCTAGGCTGGATTTTCCTGAGAAAGCATCTCCAGTTCCCAGAGGCTGCCCCACCTGCCCTGCCTGCTGCGGCACATTCTGGCCATGCCCTACCTGAGCTGCCTGTGCAGGCTCCCTCTGGGAATCAGTCGTGCTGGGAGCCCTGCTGTGTTTCCTCTGATTTGATCTCACTTAATTCACTTGCATTTCCTGCAGAGTTCAAGCCTCTTTAGGATGTGCGGCTATAGCACTGGGATGAGCAGGGTCTCATAAACAAGCATCCGTTGTCCAGGGAGGAAGCATCAACCTTTCCCATCTAGCGTGCTCCACATCATCTCTCTCTCATCCCTCCCCTCACTCAGCAGATCCTCACTGGGAGGCAGGGACTGTGCAGGGCATCAAGAGTGACGGGCAAGGGACCTTCTCTGGCAGGTTTTCCAATCAACAAGCAAGTGAGCAAGTGGATACAGAAATAATGTTCAAGTGGAGGTCAAGGCCTGGAGTGGGCCAAAGACGGGGAAGAGATGGGGGACTGCAGGGACCCAGGAGTGGCCTCCCAGAGCGGAGGCTGGGAAAGCACAGGCCCATGAGAGTGAGCGAACCTGGCGGACTCTGGGTCCCACCCTGCTCTGTCACATCCTGTCACTGTGTCACACACCACGGAGGGGCAGCCACAGATCCTGCTGCCCGGAGGCTCCAGTTTCTGTTAGAAAGGGTGGGGGGTTTCCGTCTGATTTTTTCCCTTTAATTTGAGAAGAAGGACAGAAAAGCCCTTAGGGCTCTCCCACTGTCTGCCAGCACTCAGGATCCTCAGGAGATTCAGTCTGTGTCCCCATGCAGGGCCCAGCAAGCTGCAGCTGCCCCCCAAAGTGGGGCGTGTGTGAAAGAGGCATGGCTGGGAGGTCAGGGCGAATGACCACTCATCGCTGGGTGCTGGCCTGGCTGGGACCCACAGTGCAGGCCCTCCCCCTCCCCCACCCCTGTACTTCCTGCAGGACTAGAGCTCTCCGGAGGGCGGTAAAGCTCCCCCTTCGTGCTCCCCACCAGCTCCCTCCTCACCCTCTCTGGAGTGGGCACTGGGTTTTTTCTCTCTGCCTGCAAACCCACCTGAGGGAGCGGCTGAGAGGCGTGGCCTGGCAGGGTGCCAGAGGGAGCACTGAGGGGCCAGGCTGGCCCAGTGTCCCCTCCCCTCCATGTGCTTCCCAGCACCTCTCTCCTGGGGACAGCCCAGCACTTCTGCCTCCTGCAGGTGGCTGCTGGCACATGCCTGTCATGAGGCACATTTGCCCTCTGTGGACTTATCTAGACTTATCCAAAGAGTGGGCACGAAGGTCACAGATGTAGTGCTTTTAGTGTAAGTCTTTTGTGCCCAAGAATGTCCTCACCCCCAACGTCCCCCGTCACTCATCACTCCATCCCCCTGCCTTACCTCCCAGCTGTGAGCAGGGCTGCGTGTCAGGGGGAGTCTGGCCACTCACTGTGCCTCTCTAGACACCCATGAAACCCTTGAACCCTGATCTTACAGA